TCTTCCATTGGAGGGGTAATTTCGGAATTTTCGACTTTGGATAAATCGAATCACAAGCGGAAATTAAGGGGGGGAAAGATATTAAGTAAGGAATTGTTTATAGATTTTGTAAGCCAACTGTAATCTTAAGGAGAAGCATTTTTTATGATGCGTCAAATTCTCATTTTTTTTAGTTTTTTATCTAATAATTTAAACTACTATTAACTTCTACTATATTTATATCCAAACACTATACAAAAATATTATCCCTATATCCAAACATAATTATTCAACTACTTATTTTCATACAAAAAGATTGCTATTACTATACAAAATTGCCATGATTAAAAAACATAATTAAATGACACTACTAATTTTCAAAAGAATAATATAACTACCTAACATACTAAATTAAATTCACTACGTCCACAATTCACTATTCACCTATACCAAAACATAATAACATACTAAATTGCCACGATTTAAAAATTTAATTAAATGTCACAACTAATAGTCAAAGAATATTATAACTACCTAATTTTCTATATATTAAAAGAGAATTTTTTTCACAATGTTGATAACGTTTTAAGCTCTCAAATTTTCTCACTTTTTAAATAAGAAATTATCTCTATTTATTAACTCCTACTATCCTACTACCCGAATACTCTACAATTACACAATCTTTATAACCAAACATAATTAGAAAACAATTTTTTTTTATGTAATCTATACAACTTATCTACTAAATAACGCTAAAATAATAATTAATTTATAAGATCGGAAATTGGTGACAAGTTTATGGTTATATATGTAATCTTTCATTTTTAATCTTTGAGTCATATACCGCAACTTTGAAAAATATGTTCCGTTGGTTTCAATTATTTCACGGTGGAATACATTTTATAAAAATCAATCGCAAATTTAAATATGTAAAGTTGAATTTAGATGAGAAATTTCAAAAAATGCCACTTTTCAAGTGTCACTTTACAAAAAATGCCACACTTTTAAAATCTTTACAAAAATACCACTTTTTCAAAATTATTTTTTCTTTATATTATTTATACTTGGGTTAATTATTTTTCAAAAATACTATTTTTTCAAAATCTTT